GCTGACACACATTAACTCTTACAAGAGCTCTATTAGCTCTTATAAACACGGCTCGGTGTGCTGGGCTGTGCCTGCTGCTGCTTGGAAGGCAGAACCCCTCATGCATCAACACTGCGCACACCGATGGGTGCAAACCTTTACCTTCTGTGCCTGAGTGGGTTCCGTCAGGACCAGAGTGAAAAGCCCCAGGCAGATCTCCTCGTGCTGGGAGGCTCCTTTGCATATCTGAAAGAGAAGAGTGCTGTCAGTGAGCAGGCAGTGCTAGGAGACGGTCAGGAAGGCAAATGGAAATGGAAGCTCTTCTTGAAGCAATAAAAGGGAATCACAAATTGGGACAGCAAACACCTCCCTGAGGTTTGCACACTGGTGATGGTAGCACTGGTGCAAACCTCGCAGTGCAGGGAGATTTGGGGCTGTTTCAGGATGCTTTGCAAACAGAACAGTGCACACCAACGCTCAGCACTGCAGCTCTGAGCCTCCTCTTGGAGGAGACTTCCACAACCTGCCCGGCCATGCAGTGCTCTGTGTGCCCAGCCTGCCTCGCCAACCTTCTTCCCATTAAGGAAAGGCAATTTTGTGCCACTCATTCCAAGAGCCCAAGGTGTTCTGGGGAGAAAAAAACACATCTAACATATCTGAGAGCTGCTGGGATGTAACACAACAGCTCTCCTTATACGGTAACATCTGCAGCGTGCCACCGAGTATTTTAAGACCACGCAGAGATAGAAATAAATGCTCCATCCTTCATCTGAAGGACTGAACCTGCCCTTTCCAGTGGTCTGCACTCAGCCTCTTTGGAGGCCAAGAAAAAGCTGAGCAGTGCAGGAGTACAAAAATACATCAGAAACGCAAACACCGGGAGCACATGAGCAGCAACAGCCCTGCAGTGCTCACACACTGGTGGACACTCAGCTCTCAGCAAGGAATTGGCTCCCAAACACAATCCTAGGCGAGGATCAAAACCAGCAGTGTTTTGTCTTTTAGCTGTTAATAGCTCCCAGACAGGTTTAAGAACAGGGAGAACACAGCAGGCTCCGTTCCCTCCTAATGCCCCTCTGCTCTCTGTGCTTGCTCACGGCTGGCACACCCACAGCACAGCCTGAACTATTCCTTCCAGGCTGAATTTCACCCCTCTGGGGGAGATGACACTTACGTGTGCATTGAGGGCATCGTTGGCCTCTCGCTCTGACAGCCCGTTGGTCAGCGAAGTCACGATGCCCACACACCTCTCCAGCCTCTGAAACACAGCAAAGCACCATCAGCAGCTCATGGGATGAGCACAGGGTGCTGCTCAGAACCCACAGCTCAGCCCACGGCACCAGCAGCACCCTCAGCTCCCAGCCAGCAGGGATGAGGTGCTTCACAAACACTCCTCTATGCACAGGTTTGGGTTGGAAATGCTCTGCTGACAGCATCCCAAGAGCCAAAAAGGAAAGGTGTTGTTATTCAGTGACACCAATAGTGGTGCCATTTGGATGGGGGGGACAAAGAGGCAGCGTGCAGAGCTGGGATGGAGCTGGGCTCCTCACCTGCAGGAGCCACAGAGCTGCTCCAGCCATGGCACGGCTGAGCCGGAGCACCCAGGGCCCTGCGAGGCCTCTTGAGCCCATCCAGCAGCCCAGGGATCTCTGCTGCTCAATGTCTGAGCAACTCCTGGCCCAGAGCAGCAGGAGCAGACGATGTTTCCACACGAGCATCCCTACGAGATGATGGGAAGGGCTCTCCAACACGTGGAACATCACGACAGCACCAACGTAACAGGACTGGGGAAGCAAACAGTGAGAGATCCCACAGCAGCTTTTTTTGCAGGTCAGCTCTCCTGTAACAACAACTGCTGGCTCTGGCTGTTTCAGTGGTGAAAACACAACATTTGCAGGGCCTGGAGGTGCTGATGTGTGACAGCTCCTTCAGCACAGAGCCCACTGAGGTTCCCTGCGATGGTTCCCTCAGGAACAGCTGTGCCCATCTCTGGGGCAGGGAAAGCCTGAGCAGAACAGACATCCCTGCAGTCCCTTTGGAGCTGGTGGTGTCTGCTCATTACTGCTGTGCAATCAGAACACTCAGATTACGGAGCTGCTTGAGGGCTCCTTTGCACATCAAAGGGGCGGCGGGGAAGAATTTGTTGAGAAAAGGGTCAGCAGATCTCCACTGGGAGGTGATATGAAAGAAGATGCGCTGGTCAGTAATGCAGAGATAATGCCTCTGTCACACAGGCTTGGTTGGAGGCCCAGCTATGGCATTATGAAAAAGCAATAGGGCAGCCACAAAAATCCTCACTCCAAAGCAGATGAATTATTTGAAAGGGAGAACGAGATCCTGAGAGACAAAGTCAGGAGAACCCCAGCACGAAGGAAGACAACTTGTTGGCAGAGAACGCAGCCAAGAGCCACCAGAAGAGCTTTGCAGGAGGTTCAGCATCAATTCATGTCTTTGCTCCCAGGGCTGACGGGGCAGAGCTCGTGGACAAGCAGATGTACCAGCTTGCTGCTGCTGGGCACACAAGCCACAAGAAAACTGAACTTCCACCTCTGAGCAACCATAACAGCTCAGACTGCAGCAAAAGCTCTGCCAAGACCCACAGCAGAGCAAGAGGGACGTCTTCGTGTCAGCATGAGAAGTCCCAGTGAGCTCCAGCCCTCCGTTCACCTCCATCAAACCGATGTGCCCAACAGCCATCAGCTCCAACTGCTGCTGGAGGGGAAGGCAGCAGCTTCCATCTGAACTTTGCAGCCAGATGACTTTGAACACACGATGAGCACGCGTGGGTTTTCGGGCACATTCTGCATTTGTTGAGCTCTTAACATGAGAAACAAACTCGTGGTGGTAAATCCAACAGTGCTGCCATGCTTGGGAGTACTGCTGATAGCTGAGCTTGTGCTATCAAACCAGGCTTGCTTCCAGCAGAGAAGTAAGGATGGAAGAGCAGCTGCTGGGAGGCCTCTCATGGTCACCTCTCCATCCTGGGCTCTGTCTGCGTGGTGGAGCCGATGCTGGCTGTGCCCCAAATCCCAGCAGATCCATGCCAGGCAGGCAGAGCTGCGCTGGGACGACCTGGGAACGGCTCAACCAGAGCTGGATGGGACCCAAAGCACACACAGGGACTGCTGGGTGCTCGGAACATAAATACACTCCGACTCCAGACCTCGAGACCCAGCCGTTCCAGTTGCCTCCCTGTTTTTCTCCTATAGCTGAAATCCTGCGTGATGTTTTCTCAATCTGCTCTGCTTCCAAGCCATAAGTACACGTTTCCACCCCACAATAAATAATCCTTCTCTCCCATCAGCACAGCCATCCAGGGGGGGAAAACCAGAACCCCAGCCCGGGTCGGAGGCCCACAGCTGCTCCCCCTGCGAACCAGACGTGCTCCAGTACTGCAGAAGGGCCGAGGAGATGCAGCACCCACAGCCTCACAGCCCTGAGCCCAGCTCCCCCTCCCACCTCCCAGTCACTGCTGACAGCCCCGGTGCTCCTGGGGAGCCCCAAACCCTCCCTACGTGTGGGAACCTCTCAGCCATGCTGTGAGAAGAAAAGCCCAACGTGTGGCTCAGCTCTGGTTCAGCTCCCCATTACCCCACCCCTGCAGGGATGGGAGCAGCACACGTCCCCCTGCCCACCTCGCAGCCCCCTCCCCTCTTCCCCCCCCTTTCACACCTACCTCCTCCAACTCATCCTTGGCATCCAGAAGGGTGGAGAGCAGCAACTTGCCTCCTCCTCCTCCTCCTGCCGCTCCCCCCTTCCCCTTCTGCATCTCCATTGCTGCCGGGGGGAGCCCCTACCCGAGGCGGGGGGGGCGGCTTAGCCTGAGAGGAGCCCCCCCTCTACGCCCCCAGTTTAATCCCGGCTGCCCCCCCCAGTCCTTCCCGGCTGGGGGATGGGGGGGCTCTACGGGCACCCCCCGGTACCTCCGCGCTCCGGCACTGGGGGTGTGCGGGGGTCACCAGGCCCGTGCGTGAGGCGGGGAACACGGGGGGGGGTGGGATGTGGGGGGGAGGTGGGGGGGGGGCTGCTCTTCGACCACGCTTGGGCCCCCCCTGCCGCCGTGCTGGGCTATGGGGGCCTGTGGGACAGAGAGCCCCGGGGGTACGGGGAGGCACCGGGGCTGACAGCTGCCCCGGAGGACGGGGCGAGCGCTGCGGCTGCCGCCGGGCCGAACCGGGCCTGGAGCGGTGGCAGCGGAGGGGGTTTCGGTACCGGGGAGGGGAGCGGCGGCTGCGCGCCCCCCGCCCAGCGCCGCCGGCCGGAAGTCACTAGGAAAGGGACGGGAGGGCCCGGGCGGAAGAGGAAGCGCACGCCGCCGGAAGCTGCCGCCCCTCCCTCTCGTTGGCCAATGGAAGAGGAGAGGTGGTTTTGAGTGGCAGGGCGTGGAGGGGCGGAGTCGAGCCGCGCGGGTAGACCAATGAGAAGGTGGAGGCGGGGTCTGGGTGCGGGGAGACCACGCCCCCCTTCGCGGGATCGGGGCACGCGGGGCTCCCGGGACGGGGTGGGATGCGATGGGATGCGATGGGATGGGATGGGATGGGATGGGATGGGACGGGGTGGGATGCGGTGGGATGCGGTGGGATGGGATGGGATGGGATGGGATGGGATGGGATGGGATGGGATGGGATGGGATGGGAGCACCAGGACCCCCGGGACGGCGCGGATCCCAAATACCTCCCGAGCGGGCACAGCCGAGCCCCCCCGACCCATCTCGTGCTCATGAGCTGCCAGGACCCCCCGACCCCTATAGGTCTCCCCAGGTGGAACGCCTCCACCCCCCCCCCACGACCCCCACCTCATATCGTCCCCCCCAGTTCTCTCTCCTCCGTTCCCCTGAGCCCCCCCACGTGTTCCCTGCAGAGGGGTGGGGGGGGCACGGGGCCCGAGAGGGGGTGCACCCATGGCTCAATGGGACCCGTGAAATGAGGAGGGGTCCGGGGTGGGGGGGGGGTGAGATACAGACACGCAAAGACCGCACGGCGCCTGCGCACACACAGCTTTATTACAAAAAAATCCATCGCTCCGGTGCCGCCGCCNNNGGGGGGAAACCGATCCGCACCGGGACACGGGGCCGCCCCGTCCCGCTCCTCCGCTCACCGTCGCGGTCGGTACCGGGCTCAGCCCCCCCCACCCCCCCCACGGAGCGGGGGGGTTCGTCCCCCTGTGGCCCCACCCGGGGGGCTCCGGGTATTGGGGGGGGGGCTCAGCCCCGCGTGCTGCTCCCGCGCTCCCCCAGCAGCCAGTAGGTCCGGACTTTGCCCTTCCCCTGTGGGTGGGGGGCACAGGGAGCTCCGTTACCCCAATGGGGCTGGGGGACCTCGAGGGCTCTGGACAGAGCGTGGGGGGGATTTAGGGGGGCACCCCACTGGGATGAGAGCTCAGTGGGTTCCCATTGGGGTCCAGGAGCGCCCATGGCCCATTGGGATTGGGGTAATGAGAATGGCCACTGTTTGGTTGGGATAGGGGACCAAAGGATCCCACTGCCCCATTGGGATCAGGACCCATGGGTTTCCCATTGCCCCATTGGGATCAGGACCCATGGGTTCCCATTGCCCCATTGGGATCAGGACCCATGGGTTCCCATTGCCCCATTGGGATCAGGACCCTTGGGTTCCCATTGCCCCATTGGATGGAGGTGTAGGGAGTGCCTGTGGCCCCACTGGTTTTGGGGTACAGAAGGTATCCGTTGCCCATTGGGTGGGACCCAACTGGGGGGTCGCTGGGACCCCCCTGGGGTGGGTTGGGGCTGCGGCTGCTCACCTTCATCTCCACATCACCCCGCAGCTCCAACTCGAAGCAGCCGAACTCCTCCAGCACCGCTTTGGTCACCGCCGAGATGTGGATCTTCAGGGCTGGATGGGAACGGCCCCATCAGCACCCACGGGTGCCCCCCGACCCCCATCTGGCCCCACACCCTCACCTTCGCCGTTGGACTCCATGCGTGAGGCTGTGTTCACAGTGTCCCCAAAGAGGCAGTACCGGGGCATCTTCAGGCCCACCACACCGGCACAGACGGGCCCTGCGTGGCCCCCAGTGAGCCCCCAGCACACCCCCCCTCACCCACGTTTGCCACCTCTCTGTCCTTATCCCCTCTGACCCCATATTGTCCTCTCTGACCAATGTGGGTGCCATTTCCCCAGCCCAACCCGCTGACCCATTTGGATGCCATGTCTCCATCCCAACCCCAGTCACCCACATGGGTGCCATGTCCCTATTCCCATCCCAACATCCCCTATGGATGCCATGTCCCCATCCCCACCCCAGTATCCCCATCCCCACTCCAACACACCCATCCTCATCCCCATACCCCTACAGATGCCCTGTCCCCATCCCCTCCCCAACATCTCCATCCCCATCCCCATATCCTCACCCCCACTCCAATGTCTTCATCACCATCCCAACGCCCCATGGGCACTGTGTCCCCATCCCAAAACCAACGTCCCCGTCCCCATCCCAACATCCCCTATGGATGCCATGTCCCCACCCCAATGTCCCCATCCCCACTCCAACATCCCCATGCCAATCCCAACATCCCCTATGGATGCCACATCCCCATCCCCAATGTCCCCATCCCCACTCCAACATCCCCATCCCCACTCCAACATCCACCTCCCAATCCCAACATCCCTTATGGATGCCACATCCCCATCTCCACCCCAACATCCCTTATGGATGCCACATCCCCATCCCCACTCCAACATCCACCTCCCAATCCCAACATTCCCTATGGATGCCACGTTCCCATCCCTACTCCAACATCCCCATCCCCATCCCAACATCCCTTATGGATGCCACATCCCCATCCCCACTCCAACATCCCCATCCCCACTCCAACATCCACCTCCCAATCCCAACATCCCTTATGGATGCCACATCCCCATTCCCACCCCAACATCCCTAATGGATGCCACATCCCCATCCCCACTCCAACATCCCCATCCCCACCCCCAACATCCCCTACAGATACCACA